CCTTTGGACGAGGACATGACATGAGCAATGCTTAGCAACCTCCTATGGTTTCAAAGTTCTGCGGAACCGCTTGTTGATGTGTGTTGGTGCAATCATGAGTCAACCTTCAATCCGGCTCAGCAGCTTGTTATTTTTTGCATGTTTGGCACAAACCCACCACTGCAGGCAATGGACTTCGCGCAGGCAATGGCCTTCCTGGATTGCAACATCCCAATCGAGAAGGTGCTGCGCCGCAACAGCTCGCTGGACCTAGGACAATGCAACGAACTGCACTTGAAGGAACCTGGGCTGAAACATGTTGTGCGTCTGTGACATGAGAGCATGAGGAACAAGTCAAGTCAAACCAAGGGCATAAGTTGTAATTGACGATGCTCAATTCAGAAAAACATAGAAAAACAAGCATATGCAAAGAATGAATCGTGTCAAAGAGTTGTGACCTCCATGTCCCAGGATGTGTTTCTCAGATTCATGAAAATGTCATGAATTTGCGTGCAGTAGTTTCTGAAGCTGGCTTGTTGTTTTGTGGCTGTGGCAATTGACAATAACAGGAATATCCTGCATTGTATTGTCGACGTTGATGGTCATCAAGCAAGCTTGTGCTTGCAGCAGTACGCTTGCCCTTCCCACTCGGAAACAACATCGAGCACGGAGGCCATGAACATTGCCTCAACTCCTTTGGCAAAATCCTCCTTTGTGCGTGCCGCCACGTCACATCAATGTGTCCACCCGAACCAACTCAGAACTTGCCTCCCTGGAATCGTTTTGCGTTTCATGAACGTTTATGAGTCACCTTGGAGACCTGTGCCCGTAACGAAATGTGCTAAACGCATACAGTGCTCAGTTGCTTTATTGTATGTATGGCGACGGGGCACGAACCATTTGCTGCCCGTGCGATCCGCAATGCTCCTTGAAGATCAACACGCATATGGCAACACCAGGCAGAGAGTAGCTTAATTTCAAACAGTATTGATCGAAGCAACCTGCTCCAACATATACATGGGTTTATGATGTCAGTCGTTTCAACGCCTCGGTTTCCATCGCCAATCGTATTTGGCCGCTGTTTGTCCAAAGTGCTTAGCCGCTGCTTTTCTGCCCCAGCTTTTCCACGGATTTTGTTTCCTGCTCATTCTGCTAGCTGCTATTTTTAACTTTTAATCCCCATGCAGTTGCCTTCAATCATGATACTGCCATCCCGTGATTGAGTTGTTTGCTGGCAATCATGGCAACACGTTGCGTTCTGAAGCCTATGTGTGATGCACCCCTAGAACTCTGCATGTTTGTGTGCCACTCTTTGAGGGATGCTGAGAAGTCATTTCCTATCGGCTTGGGGCCCCTGAGAGGGGTGATGTTGTGCAGAAAATTGCTAACCAGGGACAGACAGACAGACAGACAGACAGACAGAGCAATTGTTGGGCAAACAACTTCAACACAAACCATTTTTGCCTCTAGAAAGCCGCTACATCCATGCAGTCACATGGAGGACCGCATAGAGCACAGTGGTATAGTCGTTCTGCAAAGCCCTGTGCGCACAGAGTATTAGCACTAGTCACTAGTACCTGGCTTCCTTGGCTGAGGATGTGGTCAGCAAGCTTGGCACATGGTTGCCAGACAGCCAGACGCAAAGACCGACAGACAGACAGGATGAAGTCATGTGTGCACCTGCGCCCCATCAATCGGTGCCAGATATGGTGGTTGTTCTTGAGAAAGAGGCGGAGAGGATCTTTGAGGAACTTGTACGTTAGCACTGACACCAAGCCTTAAGTGTGGGCAGGTGGGGCACTAGATTGCAGACCGCAGACCGTGCAATCACCTTGCCCACAATGGCATGTGCATCAAGGGGGCAGAATGTGACTTGGTCAAATGCGACTTTAAGATCCACTTTCCCTGTTCTTCTTAGTTGGAGTAGAGCGTTTACGACCTTCGGTTCTATTGCAAAAATGACCCTTGATATCCCTTGATAAGGAGAGCCTACAGGTCAGTGAACGTTTGGAAGCATAGCAGCTTTTTGTCCATCTCAGTGTGAGCTTTTCCGTTTGCTGCGATCTACTCTGTTGAGTGTGAAGGGCACACTCTTCTACCTGCATATAGAGGTTGCTCAGTAGGCTCATATTTTGGCTGAGTATTTAGTTTGAAGGGATGAGGATTTGCCAGCGGAGCGTCTAAGACGAGCTTCTGCAAGATTCGCTTCTGCTAGTTCCGGCTAGGTAGTTCAACCAAAGAGCAACCACCATAATCCCAAATGCGTCACCGGTCATCGAAGAGGTTTGTTTTTGTTCGTCGCCTTTAATGGAAAACACTTTGTGGTGATTTTGTACAGCCCAGTAGCGTTTTCAGTTCACAAAAGGATGCTTATGTACCTCCCAACGTTTCTCGCGTTGATCTGTCGCATCCTTCTGTCCTGTCATGTCCAAACGGCTTTTCTGTCACGACCAGGATGGCAGCGGCACAGCCGCGTTGCCACGGTAGTTGGTTGTGTTGGTGTTCGTCGTTTGAAGGACGGGCTTGTTCTGGAGAAATGGTCAATTCCACGCATTGAGCGTTCCTCACTTCATGCCAGGAATTGGTCCCAATGGCGTTTTAGTTGACGGATGATTCCTTCCCCAAGACCCATCAATTGAACGCCAACCAATCTCTCCTTTTTCCAACTTCAACAGAGGCTTTTTCCAAGCGTTTGGTTCGTGACGTGTCTGTTTGTGTTCATCACCCAATTTGCAAAGGGCTTGTTCTAAAGAATTGTCAATCCCACTGTGACAGGTGAAGGGGAATCGATTTTCCTTCGCTTGTCCTTTTGCACGCTAGCCACATCAGAATGAGAACCAGTGATCAAACCACTGTCGAACTCCTCAACCCTGATCGTTCCAGTTGCCGAGCTTTGCCGAGCAGATGCCTGAGTGTATTTTTACCAGCTGGCGTGGAGTTGCAAAGGCCGTGTCCAACCAGTCTTTTACCTGGTTTTTGCGCAAACACTTGAATAAGGCACTAGCTGCTCTTGATCCAAACATGTGACAGTATGGGAGTGTCTATGCAGGCGCCACACAGAACATGTGCACGTATATATGTGCGTGTGTGTCAGATGACGCTAACGGCTTTGATCAGTTGATGTTAGTTCATGTGCTGGCGTTTGTGCATTTCGTGGGTTCTGCCAAAGGAGCCAAGCAAGGTGAACTGCTCATGCACTGGGTTCCAGGCTTTTGTGTTGTTGAGAAGCCCTGGATCCAGTTGGATTGTTTGACTGTATGAAGGCAACAGCAAGAGGACGAGAGATCAACACCAATTCCATGCGAATTTTTTGAGATCCCAAGTATGCCACCAGTTCACTGCCGCATGCGAATCTGATATGCCTTCATACGATGCAGCCCATCAGTTTTGGTCGCCTGAGCCCGTCGGGATTCAGCGGGAGTCAGCGGCCACAACTGCTGGGTATGCAGAGGCCTCCGTTCCGTGCCCTCTGAGGCCGTTGCAGGGCCCTCGGATCTGCCGGTTTCGACGCGACTGGCGGTTTCAGCGGTTCGACTCCGGACAGGTGCGACTGACGGGCCAAATGCAGAGAGTGAGAGGTCTTGGACATTTAGATATGACAACGCTGGCTTCCCTTAATTTATTTGGGTGAATTTATGTGCATCAGAGGCCTCTATAGACACACCTTGACGGCCGTCAGAAGCACGCCTTTGAGCCGCACTGAAAACAGGTGCAGCTCATTGGGGATTTGTTTTGTGGCAACTTTACTGGAATTCCGACAGTGGAGACAGGGCAACAGGTTCTGCACAAAGGCTTGCAATGGATGCATGGTTTCAATTGAAACAAGATCAGAATTGCATTGGCCAGTCTTTGTAGTAGAATTGTTGTCTCCACTGCCTCCATGCTGCACTGCCACCTTTGATGCCGCATGTGTGCAAGTGTCAAACCTATGAAGTGAAAGATGCAAAACTCACATAACGATCGCCACTCATGTGGTTCAAAGGGCAGGTGGGAGCTCAGTGGTACTCTATCCGTTGCGCATTTGACAATAACGTGTTCAATAAAGATCAAAAAGAAACTGGCTATATAGGCAAGAGTTTGGAGCTACCAGTTTTGTATAGAGTTCCCGGAAAAGAACAAAAGTGAGGTGCTTCCAGTTGCATGTTGCCTGCCATGGTTCCAAGGCTGCTTTTATAGATCGGTGTGGTGATTCCCAATGTTTGACTCAAGTTACTCTTGTTGTTTGACTCCACCCACTGTTTTCAGATTGGCTTGGTGATTCCGTTTGATCCAGTTCCTCTGGCTGTTTTTGATTCCATCCATGTACAACCATCCAGTTTGACATGAAACATGGCACGCTTTGAAATGGCGCCAGGACATCGAGGCTAGAAACTTGGTGCCATAGCGGGGCCTCGTAAGTCTGATATTGATATGTGCAACGGGGTCCATCAGTTTTTTCTCTGACAAGCAGCGAAAATGTGGCGAGGCAACGACCTCGATGCGCATGTTGGGACTACTGAGGTGAAAATGGTTCGTGCCTGTGCTTTGTATAGGATCGCCCCGTAATCGACGAATTCTTGGCATTCCTTACATAATTAGTTCCCATTGCCTTGAAGTCCTGCAGTGTGCCCGGGTTCGGACGGAGTATCTGCGGCTGCCAAATACTAAGTCACTAAGTGGCCTGCTTTACGGCCAACCTCTGTTGACGAATGCCCCCCAATCCCTCTCCCTCCCTCCCTCCCTCCCTCCCTCCGTCTCTCTTTCTCTCTCTCTCTCTCTCTGTTTTTCTATCGCTTTCTGTGCAAGCGCCCCAGGTCAAAAGGTTTCATTGAAGGAACCGGCCCAATCCAGATGACCCACAGAAAACGGACTTGTGACTGGTGGACAAAACCCGAGAAACGGCTAGGGGTGGTTGGTGAAAACAGGCGTAGATCTTGCCTTTCCAGTCCCAGATCGTATTGGGGTGAGGCCCTTCGCCCATCGAAGGATTCGCGACTTGCGCCGTTTTTTTGCGCTGCCTGCAGTCGGCGCGACTCAGCCAGGCACGCCATGGAGCTTTCTGACACGCTTCGGAAGTGGCGATGGATGGCAAGGTGACATACGGCACTTGCTCTTTTTCCATTTTTGGGGAGCCCAGGAGACTCAGAAGGAGCCGGGTCTGGTGCCAGGTCTGGGGTCGGTCGGGCTGGCGATCTGGCATGTTCGACCGCGGATGCTTGGAGGTTGGAAGATCAGTTATAGGTTATCGGCTATAGGCTATAGGTTTAATCCAACACATCTCCCGGCAAAAGTGAATGCAAGGCACCAAAAAAGGTGGAAAATGGACCACCCCACAAAACCAGGGTGCCAGTGAACAGAGGTCAACCATGGTCAACCTCGTCAAAAAGACTTAAACGGCGAGGTTGGACTGGCTGACGTGACTGGTTTCACTTTCTGATCGGAATGGTCGACCGGGCACGGTTAGTGGAGTGAAAACCGACTGTTTGGCACTCGGATGACCGGTCGCAGTCTTCGGGGGCCCTGCCATGCACGTAACCAACCCGGGATAGTGTTCCACTCAGGCAACGCTGGGTGCAGCTAGCTGACATCAAGACCGAGTTGCATTGGTATGTCTGAGTTTTCTGATGTTTTTTTGGTCGCACTCATTGAGCTCAGTATGAGTCATGGTTTTAGAGGTTTTGGCCCAGGCCTATATACATATATTGTACATACCGATATACTTAACAGCGTAGTGCGCGGTTGCAAGAACTCTGGTTGTGGGTCGTGATACCTGCAAACTGCTTTCTCGGGCCTCGTGTTATAGTGCTTGCAGTTCACCCACAGGAGAACGTCAACCTTCGCAGAAGTCGCACATCGAAAGCTGGCGACGGGGGTCCTCGCGGGGCGTAAGGGCTCTAAGTCAGAGGTTCTTGTGAGTCCTGGAGGTTTGTTTGTGTTTTGTGTCCAGGAGATGTTTGAGATGTTCTATCCCAAGAGAGCTGCCTTCTCCAGCCTCTCCGAGAAGGCCTTGAAGACGATCCTTCGTTACCAAAAGCAGCCGGTCTCCACACCAAAGGTGTCCACGCTGCTGAAAGGCCAGAAGAAGCTCTACATCGCCACTGGTCGCTGAAACGAGAAGGGTCAGGAAACAAGAGGGTGATTCACCCACTCGTGTGGTTCTCTGCGCCGTCTGAAATCACGACCGTGCGGGGAGCCTGGGCCGGCAGCCTGGGGCCGGCTTGGTGGGCTTAAACTAATCGGTCAAGTTCTGGCTGAGCACGTTGCCAGCTCCGCTTTTACCCTGCGGACGCCATGAGGTCGCCATCAGTTATGCTCATGGTTGCTGTGCCAAGTCGCTGAAGAGAAATCGTGACCAAGCCTTGCGCGTGGGCGTGGATGAAGCCCGGTCCTATGGTGACCTGATGGAAATTGCTTTAGAACCGGTTTCTGTTTGCAATGCTTGATGTGGAAACATATGGAAACCATTCAACACATATGGAAACTCAGGGTAGGTTAATCGAAACAACATGGGTGAGACCCTCGTCTCAGTGGAAGCTTCGGTCGGAAGGTCAACCCATGGAGTACGACGGATCTCCAGCGAACGACGGATCTCCGTGGCTGCCATGGCTTTTGCGTGTTGCTCCGGTAAGTTATACGAGTGATATCAAACAATAAGCTCCAAGAGCATTTGAATGACACTAGCTCGTGGAGAGACTCTTTTGCTTGCTGATGACTCTACGGAAGTCAGGAAGTGGAGGCCTTGCTTCTCTGGGGTGCCCAACGCTCGTTCCGCTCGTTATCCAGACTCACCCCCGACCGGAGGCCCGATATGTCGTTCCGTGCCGGGGACCTACACCTGGCCAAGGCAAGCAAGACTTGGGACCTGACTGGGTGGCCAAGAATTCCCAGGTACTCTCACAGAAGCTTGGACCCAGGGCTGGGCTGGTGGGACAGCTCCTCAGGCAGATATATTAAATACATATCTATATATCATTATATATAGTTTAGATCTATCTATCATATCTATCTATCCAGCTATAGGCTTCTCAATCCTCTTCTCAGCCGCTCAACCTCCTTTGTGCTCCTTTCCAAGGGCCGGTTTTCGTCGTTTTCTGTTGCACAGGGCCGGTTGGCTGCTTTTTTCTGGGCTCAGGAAGAGGGGTGCTGGCTGGTGGCTTTGGAAGCCATACGTCGTGCTGAGAACCTTGCAGGAGACATCTCCGACCCCTCCGACCCATCCCGCATCCGACCCATCGAAGCCCTTTCTGGTGTGGAAAGGAAATGAGGATGAATGATCCGTGAGCTTGGCGTCCTTGCTCTCACCTCACCATGATGGGTGTGGGAACCATTGCAAGGGATCGAAATACTCGAAATGGCATCATGGAAAGGGTAGGAGAAAGGGTAATTAGGATGCATCATTTTGATGCCTTCTAGTTCTTGTGGGACTAGAAGTAGGGTAGTCGTGATTCCTTTGTCGCCACTTCACATGGTGAGAGGTCGGATTCCTCGCTTGACAGCGCCGGTCGTCCAGGACCCCGCTGTACCATGGGACACGGGCGTGGTCTTGTGGGTCGACGCTGGGAACTATTTGCCGCCCGCCAGCGACACGAGCGGATTGGAGCGGATTGGAGGTGATAGGAAAACCTGCCATGAGTATTATGCACCCTTTTCGTGTGTATATATATATATATATGTGTGTGTGTAACAGATCATTATACAATAGATTATTTTATAGTAATAGATGATTGAGAGATCTTTGTTGTGGATTTGTTTGTTGGCCCCATAGCTAAGTATCATATAAGTCCGACTTCATGGGGCGTGGATGTGCTTTGGAGCATGACTTTGTTTTTCAGTTCTCCTTTGCTCCTTCGCTCTCTCCGAGTGCGGCAGTTCAGCAAGACCACGGCGCCTCGCCCAGGCATGCCGACCCTCGGCCGGTGCTGCATGAAGCTTTGGAGGCGGGCGGTGCTGCATGACTTGAGGGGGATCAAAGGGATGGGTTGAGGGGTGTCCAATAGACGAGCTGAAGGAACAAGATGCGTGAGACCCCTTCTTTGGGCCACTCCAGCAGGGAGAGCCTTCCAATGTATAACCTGGCTTTCTTGCAGTGCTAACCAGGCTAACCAACAAGATGCCAACCAAGAAAATGAGATGTGTGGTAGAAAGTTGATAATAGCTTGGTATGAGAGGCATGGCAGTGGTTTCCGGTGCGGTCCACACGTCGTCCAGGAGTCTGACATTCTGGCACTCAGACTGAAGCAGTGCCTAGAATCGGATTGGACCAGTCAGCTGACACTGCTGCGGATGTGCCTAGGCAGTATAAGTCCTCGGGTCCTCGTTGCACTCTCTGAGTCGGAAGTGGGAAGTCACGTGTTTGTGAAGGAAAATGTCTACGGGCCTATGCTCCACTTCCATCTTAGTGATTCAGAAGCTCATCTACGGGCTTTGAATCTCATCAGGGACATTCAGTCACAGAGCGTCGGTCGGCCAGGATAGTCCTTTCACACGGAACCATGATGAACCATGTGTTCTTGGGACTGCTCCTCTATTTGGTCTAGCTGGGCAGCCGGCAAATAATCGTTGCGTATGACATCTGTAAAGGGGAACTACGTAGCGAACCGTCCATCCAGCGTGTGACGGCAGCGTCCGGCTGCGTTTCGGGAGTCTCGAGACGCGGATTCCGAGAGAGAGAGAGAGAGAGAGTCGTTCCAATACCCAGACACTCCATGTATGCCATATATGCCGATCAGTTGGGGTGGTGCCAGGGGGGTCAATGGGGTGGCATATATGGCAGTCCCATGGAGTGTTTGGGATAGATTTGGCAGACTCTCTCCCTATTGGAACGATATCGTGGAGTCATAGGTGGTCCGTTTTTAGGTGATCAGTCTTCCATTGGAGTACCATCACAGCTGGTCACGCCGGTCCCTCCAGAACACCGGACGTGAGCGGTTTTGGGTGTGAAAAGACGGCGGAGTTCCTCCGCCCAGAGTGAGCTTGACAGCTTTAACCCAGAGTGAACAAACCTCGTTATTTTGCTCTTGAGCTAGCTAAATGAGCAAGTTTCAGTGGCATCAATTGATGCATATTGTGTAATAAGGATTTTTGTTCAAACATCTTTGGTAGCTGAGGAATGTGTCCTCAAGGCAGGGCCAGGGGCTTGACGGCCAAAAACCTGATCAGATGCCCCTGTGTCAGGGCACAGAAGCAAAAGACGTACAAATCGAAGAAGCGAAGGTCCAAAGAAAGAGGGTGTAACGTAACGGTAGGTTAAAGGCGTTAAAGGGAAAGATCTTAAAACAAATGACACATAAAGCAAAACAAAGAACGCACCGTTATTTTTGTTGACGTCAACCAGCTAGAAACGACCGCCTTTTGGTCGGTGCAATGGTCGTTTTACCCTGGGGGAGGTATTCGCTTCTGGACCGGCCGCAGCTGGGCGCCTACTTTCTGGCTTTCAGGAAGACCAAGGTGCGGTATACTCGGTGCGCGCACCCGGTGCGCTCGCGGTCGGAGAAACGGTGCTCGGTGCGAAGAAAACGGACCTGATCGGCAGACCCGATGTGGCTGTATAGCCAACTCGACCCTGGTAGGTTGACCTCCCAAACGTCGTCTATTCGGCTCATTTTCGGTCAACCAGGGTGTCCAGTCTTGACCCACGGCCATGTGCCTATGGCGCCTATGGCCCTCACAACGCTTTGAGTCAACGGTGTGTGCCATCGAGGCAGTCATGGCGTTCGTCGAGAACTGGCTGCGCTTGTGTGAGGACCGGCGAGTTGGAGCACAGGTTGCGCCATGCCAAGATCAAAGACATCTCAGGGAAGCCAGACACTTCCCAACAAGGAATGAGTACAGTACTGGATAGTACTGGGTAGTCGTGGCTTCACCATGTTTTACATATTTTTTTGTTTTTTAAACCTTTACTTGTGATGATCGAGCCCACTGAATAATATGTTCAATTGAGTTGACACCACCAACCAGGTTAGTATTTCAGGCAACTGTGTTTTTTCCACAGCTGGTGTCCCCATGTTGCCTGGTTTTCCTGTGACATTTGTCTTGCTGGAATTGACCAGAGCCTTTGCTTGCAAGTGGGTGCTCTCCTGCATGATATATGATGGGTTTCATGAGCGGTTTCGTGGCTGAAATCTGGTCATCCGCAGGATGAAGAAACCTTACTCGGCCTTCAAGCGCGTCAGACTCCAGGTGCGGATCCAAGCACCCAATCAGATCCGCACAGAACCCTGCTGCCTGCTCCGAACCTGACCTGCAGCGGCTGCAGCTTTGGCGTTCGTTGAAGGGAGTGTACCTTCAACCTGGGCGATGTCCTTTGCCCGCCTGCTTGCCTATGACGGAGAGTTTTTGTTCATTTTGCTTGTCGGTATACGGTATAAGGCTTTCCGACTTCTATGCCCGTGAATGGACTAAATACTGGGTTGTGCGGTGGCATTTTTCAATGGCCTGAATGCTGGGAAAGTGTGATTTTCCATCATGAATCAATGATCAGCATATGGTTTGCTATGAGGATGTGGACCCTTGTGCTTACCTCGGGATGTACAAGGTGTCTCTTCGACGTTTGTATTGGCTGGGATCTAAGGAGACTTTACTTCTTGGCCTGCTTTATATATGCAACAAGTAGGACCCTACCATAGTGGGCACGTTTGCATGTTCCAACTGTTTCTGACATGCTGGGCGGTGCGCGACGGACAACCAGTGGAGTTTGGTGCAAGATTGCTTCTTTTCGCACCCGTTGAGGCGTTCTAGAGATGCAACACCGACAGTTTCTAGTTTGTTAGTTTTTCTTCTTTGCTTGGACAAGAATGATGCCCGTCAATATCTAGCAATTCCTCACTTCAACTTCTGGGGAGCATCATGCAAAGATGGTAAGCATTGGAGGGCGAATCCCTGTAGGACTCGGATGGCAGCTTTTGACCTGAAGGTGACGGTGCTAAGATTTGCTATATAGGTCTGCTATTTAAGCCTGCCAAGCCTTTCGCTGTGTGTGAGAAAGGCCAATTTCTCGCCCACAGTGATTGCTTATAAGGCTTCATGGGCTTCACATAGAGCACGGTACCCAGCTGGGCATGGATCACCCAGCAGTTTGCGTTTTTTTGTTCCTCCGTCTGTGAACCACAGGTGGCCCAGAAGTGGAGGAGGCAGTTCGGGTGGGCGAGGCAGTTCGGCCACCAGTCACTGTGGATGCGTGCATGTTTTCTCGTGATGTGCGTCAACACCGGCGCAGCCGACCGAGCCCGGTAGAAGAAAAAACCCGGTGCTACCGCGCCACGTGGCAGGACCTTCCGACCTTCATGACACACCAGGCCGACCAAAGCATTTTCTCCATCCTCTTCAAGAGTTTCTCGGTGTTTTTTTTGTGGAGGGTGTCCTTAGCAACCCGCGGAGGGTAGCACGGCATTGAGTTGGCCGGTCATTTTGTCGGAGGTGGGGTAGGAATATCATTGTGATTTTCATGGCGTTGATGTTGGAGCCTCGTAAGGAAGAATTCGTATATGATAGTATATGTTTGTATGTATTTGTCAGATCACCAGGCTGTTTTTTTTGTTGCATGTGGTGCAGTCTAGTCGCGTGTATGTTTTGTTGATTTTTGTTGGATCTCCATGGTTTGCATCCAAACAGTATGCAGCGGTCACTGCATGGTTTTTTAGTGGGAGATCAACTGCAGCACTAGTCAAGTCACAGTTGCTCAAATGATGTTTGTTTGTTTGTTTGTTTGGCTCTAAGAACTCAACCATTTGGAAAGTAAATTTCCTCAACAAATTACAGCCTCCCAAGGACTTCTTAGTTTCCGTATATGTCCACTTCATTTTCTATAAGAGGTTTCACTTCATGTCACAGTGACCCATCCCTCCGTTCGTTTTACCATTCTTCGGGCTTCCCATTTGGTGTGCCGCTTTCGCTTGAGTGGAGTGGACCACCACTGCTGTGCCGCTCGCATCAACCTCCGAGGTCATGGCTTCCGTGCGACTCCGTTGGAGGTCGGACATAGGCCGGGCGCCTGCTGTGACGCTGGGTGGCCTCGTCAGGCTGAGAGGCGTTGGGTGGGAAACACCGCGCCGCTGAATTGCAGTTCTTTTGAATGGGGGGTCTTCCGACGCCTGTGCTGGGGCATCATGAGTCCAGTGGTTGGCAGGTACTGTATTCGGGTAGATGTCTTATATATAGTCTTCAGCTGCAAACCACACCGCGCAAGCCTTTTGTTGAGTGCATTCATCCACATATCAGATCAACTCTTTCCATGTGAGAGCTGCTTGCAGCTGTTTCCACAGCGTCCCACAGCCAGGGCAGTGACTTTAGACCGCTGGCGCGAGTGATGCAGCGGAAAACGCTCGGGTTGGAGAGAAAGATGCAGCAGTGAGGAGGGGAGGCCCGCTGCAGTGAGCTTGATGGGATGCACAGCTGGGGATGAATCGATGTTCAAGCTATGATGAGCCCCTTGTGAAACTCGATTTATTGCCTGGGTCGGGGAAGAGGTCATGACGGGTAATTATCGGTGTGTTTTGGTGCATGTGCATATACCAACATGTACATGATATACATAAGATAAGAAGCATAGAGAGAGGCAATCGACCCTCCTGATTATCATGCGCGGCTCCTTCTTAACTAGTGATAACCAGCAGGCTTAGCCTTCAGCAGCCAGTCGACCACCAAATATGCCTCTGACAGAAGAACCCGCAGAACCCCCCATCCACGACCGCCGTACGGACGCCCAGAGCTGCTGAAAGAGCCGCTGGATGCCGCACTATCCAGTCATCCGGCCTAAGTCCACAACTTGTTGGTCCTGGTACTGGATGGTACTGGTGCGTTGTGGGAGTTCCTTGGGCCAAACCCGGTGCCTCCACAGCCGTCCACTTGCCGTTGCCATGGGCCACTGGGGTGGCAGGGAAAGCCCTTTGAGGTCGAGGCGCACGTGTCGTGTGTGGTGACCCCTGCCTTGGAGGCACAGCAGAGAGCCAGGCTGCGGGTCGTTCCTCTGTGAATCGGTCGACGGGACATCGGTCGATGGATTCGTTTCGGACAGGTGTTTGGTGTTGGGTCGACACAGCAGACCTCCAACTTCTCAAAGGAACACCTAAGAGTGATTTCAAGCAGTAACTGGCTGGTATTGTTTTTTTTTTGGGGGGGGTGATTCGACATCAGGAGGCTCCAACTTGCAGATTGGTATTTGATTTGTCCTGACCGTGGTGCTAATGGGAGCGCCTGTATTGAATGACCCTTGAGTTCGTTCCGGGGCAGCGTGACTTAAGTAAGTGGCTTTTGAGGCCGTGGGCCGTGGTTGAGGGAACCGGGGAAGTTCCGCAGGAACCGATGGACACCAGAGAGACTTCGCTTCGCTTCGCTTGGGACCACCGTGCGGTCCAGGACTGCGGCGGAGGCCGCCGGTGGTTCCCCACAGGAGGCGGTTCGCGGTTACCGCCGCGGTGGACACCGCCCGGTTTCCGACTCCAAGCCTTTGACAACGAAGAAAAACAACGATGAGAGTTGTATCGGTAACTCTGAGATGAAGGAATCCCTGTTTTTTAGACACAGATACCAAACAGATCATAATCAGCCTAATATCATAATATATATATATATATGATATGATTTTTTTATCAGCCTAATATAAGCCTTCCTGACCTGGCTTTCATATCAGGTCCCACTGATAAAGGCAGAGCACTTGAAGCAATCTGGAGATTTCCACCACTCTTTCTTCCCTCAGTTATGTAGGTTATGGTATTTGTTTGCTGCTCAGGTTTTTAGCGGTCTGGGTTTGGATCTTGTTTGAAGCCTTTAATTGTAGCCATGCCGGCCCGAGGGACATGTATATAAGGTATATCAGGGACTGGACGGTTTGTGTGTGGGTCTAAAGGAATAAGTCGCCAACACGAAAGTGAGCAGAACGCATCCCCGGTGGACTCTTCTTATCATATCCTAAAATGGGGAGCCACATAGCCGCTCATGTTGAGCCAGAGCCGGGCCCGTGTGCTTGCCTAAACAAAGCATAGGTAGATCGAGTCATAGGTAGGAGTTGACTTCCACCATGCCTAATGACAGGATTGGGTTTGGCAACATGCGCCAGGGGCTGCCGGTGAAAGCACTAAAAAGTTTGGATTCGGAGAAGCCCTACGGTCGCACCAAAATCCAAAACATAAGACATCATGACACCATCCATGAGTCGTATTTGGCCACCTTCCTGCTCTAAGCCCATCAAATCGGAGAAACGACTGACATAGGGGTACATCATTGAAACCATCTTGTTTGACACTGGGTGCATCAGATGTTGTAGCTTCAATTGGATAGTAGGTAGAAGACTACTATTATTGCAACGATAGGGAGACGGTACATTATACTATCAGTATACTCCCCCCACTCACGATGTCGATGGTTGTGACAGCTGCAACATCTCGGCAATGTCTAGGTGCCAGTGGAGCCCAGCAATCAACATCAAGATGCATCAATGAAGCACAACATAGGAGCTTGGATTGGTCCACAGGGCTCCAACCATATCCTCAGAAGGTGGTTAGACCACCCGTGGCACCCACCGGCACCCACCAAAACCAACTTCTCAGGAGGCAGGCCAGGAGCCTTAGGGGGTGTATGATTCCATTCGCCAAGGCGGCCCAGAGATCACCGTCAGATCGTGCCAAGACGCGGCTCCACCCCGGGAAGATGAGGTCCGTGGGGTCATGGAAGATGTGCAGGTCATTACGGTATGACCTTTAGCCCCAGGGATCGTCGGCATCCTTTTGACTTCGGGTCTCCACATCCGTCGGTGTCGTCGTAGGTGGGTGCGGCCGCCGGTGGAGCCCCCGCCGTCGCCGCGGCCGTGGTGGCGCGGGCGGCGGCCGAGATGGAGGCGGGTGGAGAACAGCGGAGAGCGGAGGCGTTTCCCGACTTGGCCCAGATGTGTACAACCAATGGGGGGAACTGACGTGAGTTATCTCATAGTGGTTTGCTTTGACATATAACCTATAGGTTATAAGTACACCTAACCTAGTTTTAACCTTTGATTAATATTTATATAACATAATTACTTATTATATAATTAATTGATTCATGTTTCAAGTTGCCATGCCAAGCTTTGAAGGAAACAGAAACAGGAAGCAAAAGAAGAGACAAGCCTTTGGACCCCTGAGCACACTTACCGAAGACGCGCGTCTTTCCCCCACACTCACGTGTGGGGTTTTTGTTTTTAGTGTGGTATCCGCTCCGCCCTCCTCCGCCCTCCTCCTCGTCGCTCCTCCCCCAAGAAACTTCCACCAACCAATTGTCACCAACCAATTGCTACCAACCAACTGCCACCAACCAATTGCTTCCAACCAACTGCCACCAACCAATTGCCACCAACAAACTTCCACCAACCAATTGCCACCAACAAACTTCCACCAACCAATTGTCATCAACCAATTGCGACCAACCGCTGTGATTTGTGTGGCAGGCGTAGCACTTGGTGCACTCCAGGGGGTGGGATGTACGCCCCGGGGTCGTCCTGGTGCTCGACACAAATCAAAGGTCCAACCTGTAATGAACTCGCTGAAACGCGTGCTTGCTTGATGCGTTTGATTTGTGTCGCGTTGCCCACTCCAATGCTACAGGTGTGAGGGCTCAGCACCCATTGCTTAATTCATTGTGGCTCACATACTGCTGTCAAACGCTCACGGGTCCAACCTGTAGATGCACCCACACATTTACATACACTGAGACATGAGACCCACAAGCAACTTTCAACCACCAACCAACAATCACCCAAACCCCCACCGCTCGCTCCCTCTCCTCCGTCCTCTACCCCCTCTTTTCTCCCGGCGCTTCCCCTTCTCCTGACTGCAGACGTTATCTCTGGATAAGTTGTTAACATGTGGGGCTATCCGGTCCTATAATGTATTGATTTTGGGCAGTAGGTTCAACAAACTGTGGAAAACGTACCACTAATATATACTTTGACCGATGATGCTTTTGGGCAAATACAGAAATACAGTATTTGCATGGAACTCTAAAGACAGTGACACTACATAGAGGGGGGGTTCAATAGCTCCAAGTCTCTTGGGAGTGCTTTTGGAAGATGTCCCTCCCTGGGACAAGTCATGAGTATGTGGACCAAAAAGCTGCCAAAAGAACAAATCCCACTACCCCACTGACACCAAGCCATGGAACTGGACATTGGGTCTTCGAAGTTTGTCGCCTTCTGGGAAGGGCCATGCGTGGCGCTATCCATTGCACAAAGGCTACGTAGTCCGTAGGATCGATCGAGAGCACTTTCTGTCCAAAAGAGTCTACAGAACGTGTATGAACTTGGCACCCGGGCATGAACTGCTGAAACCCGCGGGTTCGTCCCTCGCGAGGCTCCTCAGCATGTGGCCACAAAGGCCTGGCTGGCGGCTCGAGCGGCTGGTGCGTGGAAGCCTTAGTTCTCGACCTGACTTGCCGGGGGGATTGGGTGGCCCAGCCTCAAGGTAGGAATTCGGGGGTGCCGGGCCGCTGGCATTCCAGAGTCGTTCTCTAAGCATGAACACTTTTGGTCCGAAGCTGGTCGTGTTGTTGTAGATAGGATGCTGCAACACACAATCCGGCATTGAAGCAACACTAGCTCAATGTTAAAGTTATGGCGTGGCTGTGGCACCAAAAACATGTGTGTAGGGTGTGTTTGTGTTTTGTTTTTTCTCATTCCCGCATGCCATGTGAACTGATGCTCATGCCAAACAACGTAAACGTCCCCTGTTCCGGCAAATGCAATTCCAAGGGTTTTTTTTCTTTGGGTTTTCAAGGCGTGGTGGTGTTTTTCAAGTCGTTCTTTGGTGCCCTCCTTATGGGCCAACGGAGTGCATCCGGCCGATGCCTCCCAAGCAGGTGAGACAGGGCAGCCGGGAGAACGACCCAAGCCAAGAGGAACACCTTCGGACGGCCGCGTGGGACACCCGTAGGACCCGTGATCCCCGTGGGACCCGCGGATCGATGGATCGGTGAATCCATGAACTTCAGATCGTCCTGGCTCGTCCGATCTGAACTCGTTTCCGGGACTTTCCCTTAGAAGGCAGAGGTCATGCAGCAGCCAGGACTCACCAAATGCCCGGGCCAAGAATCCTTGAAATTTGCTGAAAGGGTCACTGTGCTGTCGAAGCGATGCTCAGGTCCAAAGCCGATGCCTCCCAAGCAGCTGTGGAAGCTGCTGATGCTGTCCGCTGCCCCTGATTACGCTTGGTGGGGCGTAAGAAGGGAGTCAGGGTGAAAACAAAGAAAGCATACAAACTAAGCCCGTGTTTCTGTCAAAGATAGGACGACCAAGCCCTTATTGTCGGTTGTCTCAGTATGTCTCAGTGTTTGTACGTTTGATGTA